TGAGGGTGATGTCATGATGCTGGCATGTTACAAGTTAGAACAAGATCAAATTAAAGCTGCAAGTGGCATCTAACGGCTCTCGCCACATTGCCCAAAGGAGGTTGCCACATTGCCCATCTTCAGATACACTGATGTTGTAAAAATGTAATGATATGATCTATGAGTTTGTATCTCCATTGAATCACATGGAGACTTTGACACGTATTTTTAGAAATTACCCAAACATTTTCGAGTCTGCTGCATGCACACCGTTTATGTCATGTCATGTCTTTTGAAAAAAAACAATGTTTTTTTTGACTCAATCTCTTACTTTGCCCTTTTTGCTCCTGGTGACTTTTAAAATCTAAGGCAAGGCAAGGCAAGTTTATTTGTATAGCACAATTCATACACAAGGCAATTCAAAGTGCTGAACAAAAAAAAGATAGCATTAAAATCATAAATAATCACAGTACATTAAAAAGAAAGATAAAATAAAAAATATAAAATCCCTCAGTTGTATGCATAGCTAAACAGAACTGTTTTCAACCTCCTCTTAAACATTGTCGAGGAGGCCTGTCTCACATCTTCAGGAAGATTGTTCCAGATTTTAGCAGCATGAATCTGAAAAGCAGCCTCCCCATGTTTAGTTCTGACTCTGGGCACTAACAGGAGTCCAGTCCCTGTGCTCCTCAGAGTCCGGGCTGGTTCATATGGGACTAACATGTCACTAATATATTTTGGTGCAAGGCCATGGAGAGACTTGTACACAAGCAGAGCTGTCTGGTCACTTACTGAAAATACTTTAATTCTCTGAGCCACAAGAAGCCAGTGTAGCACGTGTGAAAGGTACGTGGCATTTTTATTCAAACCAGGAGCAAAAATATGTGTACAATTTGTTGCTGACCAAATGGGTTGAGCTTTATGAATCATTCAAATATACAATTGTCGAGTGTGAAAGGCTAAAAGTAAACCGTTGACCCGCCATTTTCTTTGCTACAGTCAGTTTGGATTTCGCTAGACACGTTTTGTTGAGAGTCTTGCGGTCTGTGTAAAGTGTGATGCATTTTTCATACAAAGACGTTCGGGAATGTTCTCTTGTTAGCGAGTTAAAATGGACTGGATTTGCAAGGTGTGCAAATTAAAAGCGTCTTCGAAACTAGCTTTACTGAAACATTATAGATTATGTCATGCATGCAGAGGACAAGTTATGCTTTGTCTTTTTGAAAATTGTTACTGTACTTTTAAGACATGGGCAAGTCTTAAAACACATTTGTCAAGATATCATTCTCATGCAGTAAGTTCAAATGCGGGAGTTTGTGAACCACGTGGTCTGTGTTTCACATGTGAGTGCTGTAACAATAGCACTAGCTCTACAGAAAAAGAGTTCTTTGACCATCTGAACCGACATTTAAAAAAAAATGAAATGGTCAGCTGTGTTTTTAAGAATTGTAGTTTTAAAACTAATGTATATGGGACATTTTCTTCACACAGAACCAGAAAGCATACCCCACACGCATTGAAGGACTTCAAAGAAGACCTACTAAAGCGGTATGCACGTGCACCAGACAATGACAATGATTCAGAATGTGATATGGATATTGAACATGACGACCCCATTACCTTAAATGATGAGACTAATGTGAGAGATCTACCTAACATCATTGAAAAAAACATAGCATTGATGTTCCTTAAAATGTTGAGTACTTATCAGGTTTCTAACCAATGCATTTAATGATGTTGTTGAGGAGTTGTGTTTCATCTCACAGTATTTAAACCCATAAAACTGACACTCAGTCATGTTTGAGTCCAATTTTGAGATTGAGGGGTAGTGTTGTCAGACATAGTGACAGAGCTATGTGATTCAAATCCTATAAATTCTGCCCTGAGACTACTTTCTACATCCTACAAAGAATGGCTTATTTCAAAAACACACATGGTTGAACCAGTTGAATTTGTTATGGATATAGAAGCTTTCAGTATGTTCCTATTTTAAAGTCACTCCTTGATGAGTCAAGAGAACATACTGACTATTCTTTCAAACCCAAAAACGCACAGTTGATATATTTCGTGATGGTCTTCACTATAAAACAAATACATTGTTTTGTGAAAATGATCCTACAATTTCCATTACTCTATACTGTGATGATTTTGAGATTTGCAATCCACTTGGGACCTCAAGAAAAAAACACAAAATCACTGCAGTGTATTGGGTTTTGGCAAATATTCCTGCACTGCTGAGGTCTTCTTTAACATCCATTCACCTTGCTGTACTCTGCAGGTCAGATGATGTGAAGTCCTTTGGTTACAGCACTGTACTCCAGCCTCTGCTGAAGGATCTTGCCACCTTAGAAACAGAAGGTCTCTATATTCCCTCGCTTGGGAAAAAGGTAAAGGGCACAGTCTTCAGTGTTGTGGCAGATAATCTAGGGGCCCATTCAATGGGGGGATTTGTGGAAAGCTTCTCAGGTTCTTATGTGTGTCGATTTTGTTTGGGGCAACATAAAGAATTTCAAAGTGAAGAAGTGAGAACAGGAGCATTTACTCCAAGAACTAGGGAAATGCATGAAGAGCATGTTCGGATTGTGCAGGAAAATGCTACATTAAACAATGTATTTGGAGTGAAAAAGCAATGTGTACTTACAAATAGTCTTAAGTACTTTCATGTCACATCTGGTTACCCGCCAGATGCAATGCACGATCTGTTTGAAGGTATAGTTCCTAGAGAACTCTCATTGTGTCTTCAAGTATTCATCCAAAGAAAGTATTTCACTATTGATGAACTTAACAAAAGTATCAAAACATTCCCTTACAAATGGACAGACAAAACGGATGCACCACAATCAGTCCCAATGCATTTTGCAGCTAAAAAAAGTGTTGGGGGAAATGCCCATGAGAATTGGTCATTGTTGAGATTATTGCCTCTCATCATTGGAAATAAAATTCCAGAAGGTGAAGCTGCATGGGAGGTGCTTTTACTGCTTAAAGACATAGTAGAACTTGTTGTTGGCCAAGTCCACACAGAGGAGACAATATGCTACCTTGATAGTAAAATTTCTGAACACAGGCACAAGTTCCTTCAGGTGTTTCCAGACGAAAAACTAATTCCAAAACATCATTTCCTTGAACATTACAGTCAACTGATCAGACACTACGGTCCACTTGTACACCAGTGGACTATGAGGTTTGAGGCAAAACACAGCTTCTTCAAGCGTGTTGCCAGACACACACACTGCTTTCGTAATATTCTACTATCACTTGCAGCTAAACATCAACTGATGATGGCATATCACAACCAGCAAGATCACGGCAATGCTAGTCCTGCATTACAAACAATGCAGCTTTCACCAGTCGACATTGCTGTCTTAAGAGCTGACTTCCAGAAAGCACTCCACTCGAAGTTCCCAAATGAGACCGAGATACACTTAACTAAAGTAGTACATTATCATGGCACGAAATATGCTGTTGGAATGATCCTTGCTCATGGCTCAACAGGAGGTCTTCCTGATTTTGTTGAAGTTTTGCAAATTGTTGCTGTGAAAGGGTCTCTTGCATTTATTGTGGAATGTCTGACTGCATGGTCCATTGAGCATCTGAGAAGCTTCATCCTTGAGAAAACTCATAGAGTAAAAGTGATAGAGCCAGAGGATTTAACAGATGTGTTTCCTTTAACACCTTATATGTTGGGTGGAAACAAGATCATAACCCTGAGGCGTCTGATCACAGTGGATTCATTTTAAAATGCAACTCACCAGAACTGTTTTTAGGCCTGTCACAATATTACTATATTGACTGTTTGATGGAACTATATATTTTTGGGCTTTATATTAATTGTGTATAGATTTGTATTTGCAATAGAGAATAGAATTTGGCTTGTTTCTTTGAAAATTTATGAAGATTTATACAAAATCTAATAATTTCTTTACTTGGGATGATCTTGCTGTATTGAACTTGCATCAATTGCATAAAGAAGTTTCAATATTGTGTATCACAACATATTGTCCATTAATATTAGTTATCATGACAGGCCTAACTGTAATGTTTTTAACTATTTGCTTTTTATTTTTTCAGATTGAATGATGACAGAATCAACAATTCTTCGTGTCGTCATTAGTGACAATGTGATCCGCAAGTTTGTGTTGCCAAATGGAATTCCCTCAACAATGGAAGCACTAAATTCCCAATTGAAAGAAACATTCAACATTTCTAGTGATTTTACATTGCATTACAAGGACGCAGATTTTGGAGATGAGTTTTTTTCCCTACTCTCAACATCGGAAATTAAGGATAAGGACACTATCAAGATCGTATATACCCAGGAACCAATAATCACTCTGAATTTATCAAGTGTTGACACCTCCTCAAGCACTGATGAAATGCGCTTAGATCTTCCAGATCCACATTTTGAAGATGCCCCCTCACTCTCCTCTGACGACACCCTCACTCTTTCATCATCTTCATTGTCTCCACCTGAAAATCAACGCTCGACACCTTGGCCAGTGGAATTCCCAATTCCTCGTTTCTCATCACCCACAGAAATAATCCTTTCGACTGGAAATGAGATGTACAGATCGTCTCAGACGCTTCTACCCTCCAAAGACCTGATGTCAATCTTGCCTGACATTCTTAGCCACTTGGCAGAAGGTATTTTTCAGTACATAGCCTACCCTTCAAGTGCTCATTTCAGTCAAGTTGCGACAGCCCTAGTTTCTAAACACCCGTGTCTTCACGAGCCAGGATCTTTTAATGGGTGCTATGGTTGGATCCAGCGACTGAAGCATAAGATGGGAAACTTTAGATCAAAATTAAGAGGCATGGGTTGCCCTGAGCTCACTGTGAATTCACTTCAAAGGAAACAAGCACACGATCGAACCCCTGCAAAAAATGTGAAGAAGCCCAAGAAGGCTGAAGTGAATTATTTGCCTCCACATATTCAAGGGGAAACGAGTGTCACTCTGGAGAGAGAGCGACAGGAACTTTTACTGGAAAGAACCAAGAGGGACAGTCATGTAACAGCACAAAAAATGGACCGGACTTTCTCTCTCCGTCGTCAGGAAGTCCTGTGTGAAGAGCCGCTGGTGAAGGATTTCCTGGGGCGCTGGCCAGCACTTTTCAATGCATCACAGGTAATGTATATATGTATGCATGCATTACACGTTAAACCACTGCTTTACACAACTCTGAGTGGTGTAATGATGTGTATGAAGTATCTGTTTAATTTTTGTGTGCTGCAGATAAATGAAGAATTCAAAAGAATTACGACAGTGAGACTGGAGTCCACCTTCATGGCACAACTGGACCACTGCATTAGCAAACTAATGGAGATCGGGTCAGACCGAGGAGGAGCTACTGGACAGAAAATACGAAAAATAAGAGAGTGTCTTCTTCAGGTATTTAGTTTCAATCATCTTTTTTGTAGAATTTTAACTAATTTGTCCAGGAGTGATCCAGCCAGAAAGTTTTGAAAGCTGTCTGAAAGCCTAGCAGCTTTCAAAACTTTCATCTTGAAAAAGTTTTCAGTTTAGGGTGGTTTCTGCTATCATCTAGGTTTCATTGTCGATTTTGATATGAGCTACTCTTTCTAGCCCAATGAGCTACTGAATCACTGTTGTGCTGGGCTTATTCAACAGGTGAAATGAGCTCAGGACTAACATCTCCACCTCTTTAATACAGTTCTCATACATTGATTATGAGCTGAAACGTCTTTACTTTGAAAATATTTGAAACTTTAAACTTTTGGAACCTGCTCTGCTTTTTGAACTCCGGGGTTTGTCTCGGTCAGATAAAAAAAAAATCTGTATAAAACTGATATAAAACATATCTTGTACTATTTCCAGAAACGTACACATTGGCAATGATTGGTAGGGTTTTTGAATTAATATTCACAGTGGTGGCTACAACTGTTTAGTATCTGTGAAAAGCGCTCTATAATAATTTTTCCCTATTGTTTTCAGTCCAAAAACGTTGAGGTAGACGCTCGTCGAGAGGCAGCTATTCGCGCCCTAATTGTATACTTACATGAAAAAGAAGAGGACCTCTTTGCACATTTTGATGTAAGTAAAATTGCACAAATGATGCATATACACGCAAAACAAAAGCCTATGGGCCAGGGAAAATAGCGTTTTGAGATAATTTTTGTGTCCAGAACAACATACAACAGTTTTACGTTGGCAGATTTTTTTGCCTCCACTCTGATCACTATGGAAGGGCAATGTTCGAACAAAAATATCATTTTGTTTCATAATTATGACTATTTTTAGTTCCTGGCTCCAAAGAGAGTGAAACGGTGCTTGTGGACGTGTCACGATTCTGTAGCAATAGGATTTTGTGATGATGACGTCGTGGCCCTGCAGCCCCTCACTCCTATAGTGGATGTCTCCCGTAACATGTTCTCACACCGCTGCCCACACTTATTTAGCCAGGGTATGGTCTCCTGCAGCGGAGAATGGCAGGGACAAGTCCGTACCACAGAGCTCACGAGCCACTCCGTGGTACGGACTCAAACACCGCTGCGCGGTCCTGCCCCTGCCATTCTCCGCTGCAGGACACCATGCCCCGGCTATAGGAGTGCGGGGCCGTTGTGAGAACCTGTTACGGGGGACATCCACTATAGGAGTGAGGGGCTGCAGGGCCACGACGTCATCATCACAAAATCCTATTGCTACAGAATCATGGCGCGTCCACAAGCACCGTTTCACTCTTTGGAGCCAGGGGCTGAAAAAAATATTTACAAGATGGTTAGTCATAGTTATTAAAATCTTTTTTTTTTTTATATGAAAGTGTAAAGTAGTTTTTTGTATAAGTTTCTATGAGCTCAACACAAATGAAATATACATCTGCATTTGAAACACAAAAACTACCTTTTTGTGGGTATAATTATGTAGCTTTTTTACGTACAGTCGCAAGCTGTAACTTGTCCCAGTTGTCTGGGATCTTAAGATGGGGTCTAGGCGAGAAAAAAAGAAAAAGAAAAAGAAAAAATAGTAATAAAAAAACTCCCCTGTTGCAACCTTGACATCATTTTTTTTAACCCGCAATAGGCTACATTTTATGGGTATTACAGTCATGTTTAAATGCAGATTTGGGTATATTCACTATATGTTGAGCTCATTTGTATAGTACAATTAGAAATTTGTAATACAATAATGGATACTTATTTCATTACATTGTGAAAAAAAAAATCCGTTCCAGTTCTCTGGCTGTATTGGTACATCTTCAGTTATGATGAAAATGAAACGTATTTGCCCAACCTGGATTTCTTCTGACTTTTAGTATGTTTTTCTGAACACCTCATAGAATTAATAAAACTATAATAATATTGTATTCTGTATGAACTATTAGAATATATACATAAGACAAAAGTAAAATTCCTTTCTATATTTTCAATAGAGCACTGATGACTATGAAGTGGGTTTTCATCGCTTGACCATGAGTATTGCAATCATCGGAGAAGAATCATCTGCAACCAGGACCGGAGCAATTGTGATTGAAGGAACCCAAGTCATCATGGAAAAAAATATCCCAAGGTGCTGTGCTCTTCTTATGGGTGTCATCTATGCTTTGAATCTCAACTACAAAAAGACACTAAAGTACACTTTTGAAGTCTTTCAGAAACTTTTTCTCGAGTTAGACACACTGAAAATGAGTGCCAAGGTTCTGGCTCTCAAAAGAAGCATTTTATAAGATCTATAACGTTGTTCACTACATACAGTTCTTTTCAACCAATTGTTTATTTACGTTCAAATGTTGAGAATCTGTTGAAGGAGATGCGTTTATGCATGCAGTTTTAACTTGTCACCATGTTCTTAATTCTTATTCATTTGTATTCTATCGAAAAAAAAATACTTTTACAGTTAATGTATAGTTAATTGAAGGGTTACATTAATGCATCATATTTGTACTTAAAAAGTGGAGCCACAATGTGATGTATAGCACTCCAAAAATTCAGGTTGTAAAACCCTAGTTAAGAGGACTGTTATTGCTGTTAAGTACAGGTATAGTTTTTAAATTGCACTGAAGTTTAATGTCAGTGTTGGTGTAAGATGGAGATGTTGTGGATTTTACTGTCAAATCTGCCCAGTATTGCAGTACTGTAAAAAATAAATCAGTTTGATAATCTGTTTTGTTGTCTGTATGAAATATATTTTAAAAATACATTGTAAAATTACTAAAATTAAGTAAGGCCAATATAAAAAAGGGTAGCTGTAACAAAGAAATTTAAGTTGCAAGTATTTTAAAATGAGTACGCCTTGTGTTACAAATTGAGTACATGAAGCTTAAAAAAGTGAGTATGCAACACAAAAAACTATACACATGAAAAGAACTATTGAGTTGTCTTCAGTTAATAAAATGATCAATTTAAGATAAAAATAGAGTTGTCTCAAAACAAAAAGAGCGTTTACTTTGACTCAATTGTGCACTTCTTGATACAAGACAAAAAGTTGAGCGGAGAGGGTTGCCCTAATTTTTCTCGTTGGACTAGGGCATTATTTTTTAGAGTGCAAATTGTAACTGCTTCTCTTTGATTCCCTGCTCTCTTTCTCAAACATACACACTTTTTACACCGGGCCGGGCCAGAGCCGGAGGGTGGGATATGTCTGTACAGCACACTGTTGGAAGGCTAAAATGGCTAGAAGGGATCTTTCTGTTTATTCTTTTACCTTCCTTTTTATTAAAACTTGATTGCATTTAAGCTTTCCTCGACTGGTCATAAATTTTGTGCATGCGTTGACATAAGGCCACATTCCGTCCATTGCCCGAGGTACAGAAGGACCGGGCTAACGGTGTTGGGTAATTTGTTACACTGTTATGGACCTAATGGACATCCACCTGGAATTTTGACAGTAGAAGCTTAAAGCCAGGGCCACAACTCTTTTGCACTTCAGACTATAGTGTTTTATGACCCCCAATTATGGGCGGTTATGAGGCAATGTAACTTTGTGTGTGTTTTCTAACTTACACCTGGTCCGCCTCCCGTAAGAATACACACTCGCCCACATCAAACCTTCAGGCAGGTATGACAAAGCCGCTACATCTGTGATCAGCTATGCTAACTTAAGAGCGCACTATATCGAGGTACTTAGTCATTCATGCATTCCCAACTGGCTGTAAACGCCATAATGGGCCCTATTTGTTTCATGTGGTTTAATGAGGAGCCAGACTGCAGCTGGTGGAGGGGAGACCTCACAGCATTCAAGGAGGTCCCTACACCACCCAAAAGGTAAAGCCTGGTCCTGCGCAGGATCATTGTGTCCCGCAGCAGTCATGCGGTTGCGGCACGTGGGGGGAGTGTTCAAAGCCTCGCATAGAGCCCATTTCGTCTCCTTTTATAATAATGCATTTTTTGTGGTTTTCCTGAACCATTAATTACATCTAGAAAAAGAAAGAGTGCATCAGATGTTAGTTTTATTAGCCAAGGCTCTTTAGAGGGAATCAAAATGAAAGGAACATATGTCATGCATTTGAAGTCCCCCCCCACCCCCTCCCTCTGGTTCCCTTTTCCACATTGCCCACCTCACACACTCACAAAGTGTACAGTCAGCAGCCGTCTGCAGACACAATAGCGTTTGATCGATCCAGAAAGTAACGACTACGGCGCAGCTCGAGCCACGCGCTCTGCCTGGCCCACATTCTGCACCACTTGAAATTTATCGCTCAATGTGGCAATGATCGAGATAATGAGAACGGAAGGTTAATAAGCACTTCAGCTGCTGGTTAGTCTTGTTAAAGTACGACAAGCGTTCTGGTTGAAAATACAAAGTCTTACAACCGCTCATGCAGTGGCTCTTATTTTTACTATTACTCTTTTATCTCAAACGTTTTTGAATTGTCTGTCATTTTTAGAGAAATAAGGATGTTTGTCCTTGACTAAAGTCCATGTACTCAATTTGTATTGTTATTCTTTGTTGAGCTGGTCCTGGGTTTGGACCAGCAAAGAGCAGGAACTGGCTTGTAATCTCATGTAGCTGGTTTTCTACACCCGACACAGTGCTAAAACATAGATTCAAGACATATTGTGCAAATTGAGTTTTATAAAAGAGCATGACATGCACGTTCTCAGCTGCTCATCCCTCATAGCGTTTCAAAGGGTTACACTATGTGCCGCTGCACCTCTCCTTCAGAGGTGACTGCTTGCCTTACCTTTAGGGCCATGCTGATTTATGTGACACATGCCTGTTTTTTCATGACTTGTTTGAATGCATTCTCAGCTATCGGGGCAGTCCGGTTGCCAAGACCATAAAGATTCACACCTGCACAGGGTTACCTAAAAGCAATGATGTAGGTAGTCAGAGATATTTTGTTTGGCTTGATTAGAAGATATACACATTACAATAATTGCGCCAGTGATATATGATTTACTGTACGCCCTGTCACTGAGTAATTGCGCGTTCAATTTGATTTCCTTGTTTGAACATTGGGTTTGGCACATTTTGTTTTAATGACTCAATAGGAACAGTTTGTGTTCTTTTATGCTAATACACATAACTGTAGTGACTTCATTTTAAGAGCTTAGCTATTCTACCTTATGAAACTTTCTTATACTTAACACAAATGCATAAAAGGTACAATTACAACGAAATTATGAGCTGCTAATGCATAAGCTTGAAAATAGAAGTTTAGGACAAACACACTGGATTTCACCTAAAAAAATGCTGCTTACCCAAATGCGAGGCTCATTAAGTTTTCTTGATTCTCAGCTTAACGAATTGAACTGTTCCTGTTTGCGGAAGTTTCGACTCTATGGCGTGCTTTTAGTTTTCATTGCAAATGAACAAAAATGAATGAATACAAACAATGTGTGTATTTTTCAAAGTTTGAGCAGCCTACAATAACCCTAATAATATAAATGCAAAATTGTTGCAAAAAGATATAGACCACTGTAGCTATTTTATTTTTATGGTAAATATGCATTCTGGCATTCTGAATTTAGGCTTTGGTTATTATTATTGTTTCTATCAAACCGCTCTCTGTCAAAAGCTGATCCATACTGTCCAGTCCCCTTGTGGTTACAAATGACCTCCCGAAGCAATAATGCAATAAGTGTTTTCTTTTATCTGCGTTGTCGGGATTCTTTTTCACTTGGCCTGACACAATTGTGCATTTATCAGTGTAATTGCATGAGTCGGAAGCACTGATGTTGTCTATTAGGCGGATTTCCACCCTGTTAAGAGCAGAGGGCCTTTTAATGTATGGCCCTGCTTGAGTGTACGCCACACAATTACACCGCGGCCCAGCGATTGAGTGGGGTGATGATGCTGATGATTGCAATGTTCCCGATGACCGCTGTGATATTGGACCTCCCTGCACTGTCCTAACAAGCCCCACAAATGGAGACTAAGAGTGGGACTACAACGTGAAACTGAGGTTAATCATTTTATTTACTGGTGTCTCTCTCACATTCAAGCCCCCGCCTCTCTTTCCTTCCCTTAACCAAGTGATGAAGCCCAGACTGTGCTGCAATGGGGGGGGGTCGGAAATCGATGGGGAGCGCATTACAGTAAAACGTATTGATTAGGAGACCTGCGAGCAGTGTGTTGGTCGCAGAGATGGTGGAATGATGCAATGCTTAAAGGAATTTATCCTTTGACTTTTACATTAACCTTTTATTGACTGCTTTGCCTGTCCATAATTAACACTCACTTTAGCTAAAGTGGTTAGTTTTAGCGCAAAGGGGGCTCAGGCCCTTATTGCGCCTGGGCTGTAGAGCTGCAGTTCAAGTGCTCTGTGCTGCATGGAAGAAAAGGCCTCAGTGGAATACAGGCGATAGAATCCTAGATACCTTTCACATTAGCATACCATTTAAGTGGGGGCTCGCCGAGCTATAAGGTTTCAGGGCAAATTGAAATGAGTGATTGTATTGCCAATCTCACTTGACCGAGCGCCAGATGGGATAGTTAGGCCCATCTCTTTCTCGGGTTAATCCATTGGAACAGCTTGGACTCACAAACACATTTTCTCTCTCTTCACCTCACCCATGCCTCCTCCTCCTCTCCTCACACCTCTTTGTCTTTGACCTTAACTTTAAGGTGGACTGTTCAGGCATTGGAAAATCTTTTGGTGAGCCTTGTTTGCACAGCATTGTAGCTCCTACAGAAAATTTAGTCAGAGCCCCAGAGAGCTTAAGGAACCTCGCCTCAATATTGACTTTTTGTTTGGTTCCATTTTGCAGTCAGGCTGCGTTACTTGGTGAACACCAGTATGCTGTGTAAGAGTGTTTTCTGAATTACCTCCACTGATTCAGTTCTACAACTTTGGTTTGTGTGAATGTCCTTTACTAATCTACTTTTGAAGTACCGCAGATGCACATTTACCATTTGAGCACCTGTCTGGTGTTGATGGCCATAGGGTAATTTTATGCTGGCTGTCCCCAAATAACTGTCATATTTGTTTTGTCCCTAATTCCAGCAGACTTGAATGCATATTGCCTGCTGAATGTTATCTTGATATGTATTCCAGCCATGTCCTCCTGCTCTTCTGAAGTGCTGCTTCCTTTAATTCGCAGCCTAAATAAATGATGAGAACATTTAAACACACAGCTCGTCGCAAAGCCCCAAGGTCGCTTAATCGTATTATTTATGAAGTGATGTGCTACATAATGGTACTTAGTGCATGTTAACAGATGCTATTATCAGGCCTGGATCCAGCACGCACAAGATATATTGGAATTGGTGATGTTAATGCTGCTCCTCACTAAGCGTAATGCAGTGGCTCTTTAAAGGGGCTAACTGCACCAAAATGCTGCACTTAGCCTGAGAGCTGGTCAAACATTAAGAGGCTCGGAAATGTGCAGCCACTAAATTCTGGCAGCAATGGTTGTTTCCTGACACACGGCCCCACACACCGGCCATGCTCTGTATGCTTCTCTACTAAATGTAAACCTGTAGTATTTGTAGTAGTTTGTAATCTAATCCATTTACCCCTTTTTTCCCCCAAGATTCAAGAATTCAATTTTCCTTTGTAGCAAAACCACATTGGAAATTGGAAAACCACATTGGACTACCCCAGAGTGCGCATTTTTTTTAATAATCATTCAAAAAAGATGAGTTCTATTACTAGTTTTCCCATGCATGTCACATGTCCTAAAATCAGCTTTTTCAGAGAGAAAGGTTAAAAAAAGAGGACCACCCTCACTCAGCCAATCAAAGCATATTATAGTATCTCACTGGGCTCATTTCAAAAGTATGGAAAATATGTTTTCTAATAAGATAAAGCACGTTTTGATTTGTTCACAACATTTTACAAGACTCTTACTGTTGGGACAAACAAGATGTGTTATTTATAAAAAGCAAAAAAAATAGGTATCGCCACTTTAACACAATTCTCGAGAACTTATTTTTGGTGCGTTAATTCAATGCAATTCAATGTATTCTTGTATAGCCCTAAATCACAACAATAGGAATTTTAGAGGACTTAACAAAATTGTTGAAATTGCCAACAGAGATCCGAGAATGAAACAGTTTAAACAGACAAAAATATAGAACACATAGGCATTGGTCCGTAGGGAGAATTGACCAATGTCCATGAATGTTGTAGAATAAATGTCTTTGCAAAGTACACATTACTAAATAAAAGCAAATCTGTTTCAATAGGTCCTTGCTACACATGTCGCAGCTGACCTACTGTAGGACTTTGCAGTTGAGGGAAATTCTTGAGTCACCGCACCTCACAAAACATATAAATGCCATCTCCACGCTTTCCCCTCTTGCACCTCTGGGATCAAGGGTCACCCCGATCTGTCAAGACGGAGAAGGGTGGGGGCAGATTTACTACGACATGTCACTGCAGTAAATATTTACACTGGTTTGACAAAAGATGTGGCATGGGGGTCTATGGGGCCTCCAAACACTGTACACATCAACTGGCTCCGTGTTATTAATCATATCAAAATCAGGCTGTGACATCAAACGCAGGTGTCTGTCGGCTCTGTACTGCTTCCAACAAAGAGGAGTGTTCTGTTGTGAAATCATCTTGCTGTGTGGCCGAGCAAGTGCCCCAGATGAATGAGGCATTAATCAAAGACACGGTATCACAGCTATTAACTTGATCGTGTTGCAGCTGTTTGTGTTTGGGAAACAAGCTGTTAGTCACTTTCTCTCCAATACAAAGCATAATTACCACTCTTGACTTGAGTTACATCAGCATAAAACATGAATGTGTATTTAGTGCATGGTCCCAGGTCTTTGGTTAAATCACATTTTAAACTGGAAAGTCTTAGGTGTCATATTGTTGAATGCGCTCTTTTGAATGCGCTGGAAAACGGCTGCAACGGCTGAATTTTTATGTGTTTTGCTTTTTTCTACCTGCAGTACATTGATCATGGTTTTGCACTGGTCCAGACCGGAGCAGAGAGGATTCATGGTCCAAACCAAGCGGATCAGGCGAAAATCCACTGGAGGATTGCTAACTTTTAGAAAAATGCTAAAGAAGCATTTTGCATTTTTCTGTGGACTAGAGCAGAGAAAATGGTCAGAACCAAGCGGCTACTCCACCTTGTGACCCGTCCTGCTCCACCCAGTGGCTACTCCACCTCTTCTGCTGTGACCTTAAGGGCTGTTGCTGATAATTATTATTTTTAAGTTTTTAGAATGATCAATTTTATCTTTTTATTTTTGCTGCTACTGGACACCTGAATTTCTGTATTTGTAATGACTTCATTACTCCACTAGTTGTACATATTACATACAGTCCCTTTACATTTCTTTCAATTTAAAGTGACATGGGTTACGTCTGAAGGTTACATACGTGTGTCTCCTGATCAAACACAGCTATCGTGTGCTGAAAGTGTCGGCTTATGTCATTTAGATGCTTTTTCAACCCCTAATTGTCGATACTTTTCATTACGTACATTTCAAAGTAAAAGCTAAATGCTCACATTAATTTATTGGTCTTCTTTGTGAATAATTTGCTGGTGAATAATACCCACACTGATTGCTACTTACGTGTGGGCGGAACTATTGATGACAGTTGTAATTATGTTGTCATGTATCACAACCACTACTATCTACTCTTCCTCATGCCAACTTTAGTTTAATGAGAGCATTTTTCAAACAACATAAATTGCAACAACACGCAATACAATCCATCTAACTAGTTAATTGCGAATGTTCACATGCATGTATTTGTGGCCTTGTTCACATCTTTAGAGCAGTTTTTAACACAGAAAAGTGAAAAAGAGACCACTCAATCAGCCAATCAGCTCTCGGCCCAAAGTGTCAAATAGTGACTCCCTGGGCTCTTATTTTTTATGCAAAAGATTTCTTGTGTTATGGTCTTTGTTTGTTTACATTTTACTTTGAAAATACTCCTGTTGGAGCAAAAATCTATTAATTATGAGAAAAAGTTGAATAATTTGCCGCAGTAAGTGCTCTGGTGTGCACTATCTGTTTATATTCCAATGTGGTTTTACTGCAAATGGCAAAATCTTCTTTCAATCTTCTTTCTACAAAAGCTGCAGCAGGCTAGTACCATTCATAAATGAGAAATACCATTTTATTAAAGGCCAAAAGGTTGGATTGTGCCACATAGTTTGCTACTACTGTACTTTCCCTTTTTAAAAATGCTATTAATTAAGTCATTCTCCCCTGCTGAGCTGAAAAGCCTGGACGCAGCTGCGACTGTATTAGGGCATGCCACGGCTGACCCCAGGTTAAAGGTCTCTACGTGCTGTAAACTGATCGACAGCAGACAGATTTATTTATGGCCTTATTATATTTCATCTATTATGTAGGACGCATGCCTTGACATTTCACGTTGGTTATCAGGCCACATGCGCAGGGCTGGCTGTTTTGAGACCATCCAAACACTAACCCACATGCTTGAAAACTATAGCGCTGTCTCCTTCGCTGGATTTATGAGTTGGACGACTTAATGGCCGCTTGTTTCCTGTGTCCTGTCGCCTCAGGTGCCACTCGACACTGGCCCAGACATTGCCCCCTGAAGAAGCCCCCGTGGATCGGCCTTTCTGGGGAGTGGATGACCCCAGCATGCCTCTGCCTTTTGATCTAGCGGACATCATCAACAGAGTGGAGTCGCTGCTCTGGAGGTGGGCCCAATTTAGAAGCTGCTTCTGTTTGTTGTGTATCATGAATCTGGACTAGACATGCTCTGACCTTTCAATTCTTCCCATCAAATATTAAGTAAGACATTAATTGCTTTTTGAGGGTAATTACAGAAATATTAGATGTGGCAGACTCACCAAAATTCACATGACTTACATACATTTCATATGTTTACTCAAACCTTATTATTATTATTAAAACCTGAACATAGTATTTTATCATACATCAACATCACAGACACAGATAAATATACTAAATAGTTCCACAAGGGGTTTGAGGAAGCTCATTCTGATGATAATATGTTATGCTAATACTATGCTATTGTGTGTATTGTGTGTACATAATATAGGCACTTGTATAGGCAAGGCAAGAAAGGTGTTTTTGTATAGCGCAGTTCATACACAAGGCAACTCGAACTGCTTAACCAAACAGTAGTAATATTAATAAATTCTATTATTTTATTTTTTTTGCAGAACTTTATATTTACTTTTATAACTTGTTTGCACCTTGAGCCAAAGCAAACTCCTAGTTTATGACTTCCTGTTACTTACAATTTCAATAAAAATTATTCTGAATATGCTGCTTTTCCTGCCCTATATACAGTATATAACTACATTTATACATATATTTTTGACTGGTATTGAAGCATTTTCAGCAGCTACAGCTAGTTAAGCTAATTAAGAAACATAGCTACTAAAACATCAAAATTTCCCCACTGTGGGACGAATAAAGAAACTCTTATCTCTTATCTCTTTCATCAATTTCAAGTATTTCATTCAGTCATATTGCAAAGTTCTCGGACATTTTTACTACCAGGTTTTAGTTGTTAGATTGCTGTCTTCACCACTACTGAATTACTGCAGTTCTTTCACTTTGAGACACAGCTCTTTAAGATAAATATAAATCCATGTCACACTTTCCCACACTCTGTCATTGTGTTTTTGAACTTTTAAGTGATTATAGTCAATGCAGAAACACTCTTAACTCCATATTGTTTTCTCTGTGAACAGGATGTGATCCATGTGAAGGGCAGCGAGGACCTCCAACAGCAGCGATGTGTTGTTCTGCAAGTATACAGTAATAGTACAGTATATGGCCTCTCCCAGCTGAACCTGACCCTCACATCTGTACTACAGTATTAGTAACACCATATTACCACAATAATGCTTCAGTAATGCTTTAAGCTAGTATCACTGAGGCTGCATTTCAGTGTTAGCATACATTATATAAGTGTTTTTTTCAACATACTCAATGCTACGAACGCTCATATAACCCAGAGACGCTTCATCAGTAGACTCATTCTCAGTAACCACACATTTTGCACTTGTCTATCCTGTCATCATATGCGCATTATATTATTGTACAAAGATAGTCACCTTTTGCTCACCTTATTTTAATCATTGTAGTATTCTTTATTCACTGTGTTTGGAGATATGTATATTGCTGCATTATGTATTATTAATCCAACATGTAGCCACAAATGGTCAATTCATCAGTTCATGTAATAAAGCCACATGTTGATGAAAATATATACAAACAATATGTCTAGTAATAGAGAAAATTGGCTTCATAATATAGAAAAGGTACGTCTAAAACAAAATACAAGTTACAATATGTTTTTATCAGTCAAGTTATAATCACTAAAAGTACAATAACATTTGCTTACATGTATTTCACTCTATGGGCTATATTGTATTTATTATATTTATGTTACTGAACACACCTTTCCAGATTGTAAATTGCCTTGCATAAGAGTTTGACCTTTTGGGATTACGTTTTTATTTTGATGTTCATAATATTTGCATTTTTGTGGACGTACCTGTTTCCATTGACCATTTTACTGACAGTCTTAGCACTGGTTTGGATTAATCAAATTAGGAGAACTATGTAGAAGAACTATGCTTTCTTTATGATTGCTATACTTTTACGTGTGGTTTTATTACATGATAAAGTGATAATCGCATTACATTTTGGATCAATACTTCATAATGTATTGCTTCATTTACTTCGGCTGTACAAGACTGAAGAGACCAAAGTAAGCTATGATAAGAAAGTTATGAAATATTTTATGAAGGATGTGCTGTTTTAATGTTTTCCTTTTTTTTTTTGCGGTGTGACTTCACCATTGATGTGAGTTGTGTCCCGTGTGCGTGTGTGTGTGTGTGCGCGTGTGTGTGTTTGTTTGTCAGACGTGGCACTTTTCTTTCACATTTGTGGGCATACAGTGTGTGTGTGACTGTGATAGTGTGTTCGAAGCCTGTGAGGCGGCCTGCCAGTTGTTTGTTCTTGAAGATGTGAATATTGAGGGGAAAAAAGAGACTAGCAAGTGTGGGTCCCTCTGCCTACGCTGGGATGAAAGGCAGCACTGATAGAATGACCCAGAACACAGCCATCGTTTCTCATAATTACAGCTGTTCTATCGCTTTTAATTACTAGTGTGTAGAGTACTACGTGTTCCTGTAATGCTGCAGGCCATCTGAGAGACAGAGAGAGAAGGATCCGGCGCTTCAGACAAAATCCACTTTCAAAGAAAAATCTGAAAGGGTGGAAAAAGGGGGTGAACGTCAAAGCAGTGTAGCGGCCCTCCTTGTTTGATTTCCCTTCCTCTATCTAGTTCATGATGAAGTAGAGACGCTGTTTACTATTAAAAATGCAGAATTGCACTCATTTTTTCTTCTGAGTTCTTTTGTCAAAATGTTAATGGTGGCCAAATGCTGTTTTTCTTTGCTGCGTCTGTTGTTTGCTGTCTGAGATTTGTTTGTAGATTGGCAGTAGCGTTAAAATGGTTTGAATCAGTCTGTGCTCCTTGTGCCCCAGCTCGTCTGCAATAGAAATGGCATTGAAATAAAGTATAAGTCTTCTCCAACATGTCTCGTGTCAGTGTTTTGTTTGCATTCTAATTTGTATAGAAGAAACCACAA